CACCTCGTATCTCAGTTATTCCGCAAAGCTGTCCCTGATACGCAGGGCTTTCCAGGACCCGTTGAATGCCTTCTTCATAGCAATTGCCACACTGTTGTGCAACTGTGGATTTACTTGTTTTGTATGTTCTACCTGACTGTAATAAGCCTTTGAGGGTAGAGTCTGGGTCATGTTTGCTTTTTCTATGCCCAGTTCTTGGCAGTTTCATTCGATTAACATTTTTTAATACATTAATATATCAGTACCCAGTTGGTATGTTTTATGAAATTTCATGATGCCTGAAACATAATAGGTATCTCATTAATATTTGTTAAATGAGTCAATGGCCATTTAAACTTTCATGTATCCTTAATTGGCAACGCTTTATCTTGTATGGATACGTTTAATATTAACAAAATTTAAAGTTATTTATTTCTAATTCCTGAAATTTGAGATTCTAAAGTTAACTCATGTAAATAAGTTAGAAGATTTAGGAAATTTGTATAATTTTCTGTCAAAAATAGGTATGGTTATGAAGTAATGAGATTTGTCCTTGTGCCTCCTAAACCATCTCTGACAGCAGTATGTTTTAAGTTGCTTCAGATGCTACAAAGGACTATCACACACTTTCTAATCTTAAAGAATGAATAGGCCAGGGGAAGAAACTTACTCTGCCGTAATGTTGTGTCGAAACACCAGTCCCATCTCTCGCCACAAAACCAGGCATTCATTAGTACTCTTCAGTATCTCAAGTTTCTTTTTTTCTAACACAGTGAAATAAGAGCTCACTTGTTAGTCATTCCACAAAGAAAATTATAGACTCTTCTGAGAGGTACATTAGAAACCAGTTAGGCCGATCCTGTTTGTTTATATTAGCTCTTTCTATTACAAGTGAGAGATTGCTTAAGCAAAAGGTAGACGTATTGGTTCTTTTAATGTAATTGGCTCATGTAATCTAGGAGCAGATTGGTGCTCAGACTTTGTCTTCTAAATACTATTTACTGTATAAATGAAAATAAGACCTGCTTGGGGAAATGGCTGATTCCAGAAGCAGAGCAGGGAAAATATGAAATGGGCTTGGGACAACTTGATATCAGAAAGCAAGAAAAGAAAGACTAATGGAATCGTGTCAGAAGATCCCAGGAACCAGTTTGAAGGGACCCCAAGTGGCCAAATTTGGGAGAATATGAACATCAAAAAGAATAATGATGGCAATTGATTGTTACACAAACAGAGAAAAGGGGGTGGGGAGTGTAGGGCAGAGGAGGTTCTTTTTTACAAAGGAATACCAGCTAATAAATATGGAAGAAATGGTAGAGTTAGAAAAATGACTATTTTATAGTCTCAAATGCAATAATTGAAGCAAGGATGATCAAGGGATGCTAAACTCACTATGAAAAATTTATTGGGAAATAGGATAGCCACATGGTACCACATTTGCATACTCGGGTTACTTTCTAACATAAAGGAGGACATGTACCTTTATAATAGGGAGATATGACAGTAAGCAACTTAACTAATGATTGAGTTTAGCATTAGTTAATAATGGGACAACCTAACATTTTGTGTCTTCTGATGTGATGAAATGTGAAGTTCAGAGTGTGAAGTACTTTTGTCAAAACTGTTTAATTTGAATCTAGACTTAGATTTTAGTTCACAGGAAATGCAAGTGATGGAAGAATAGGTTTAATGATACCATGAGGAAACAATGAGACAAATGCAGAATGTGGGTCATTTTATAAGGCAACCAGCCTGGACTCTTCAAAAAGTCAGTGTCATTAAGAAAGAAAAACGGCAGCAGGATTTTTAGATTAAAAGATACTGCAAAGATAAAACAACCAAATGCAATGGGTAAAACTTGATGGGATTCTAGATTGAGGGGAAAATAGTATAAAAAATAGGCAACTAAGGAAATTTGAATATGGAATGGATATTAGATAATCTGAAATTGTTAACTTTTTTAGCTGTAATAACTATATTGTTGGTATGTAGGAAAATGTCCTGTTCCTAGGAGATGCATGTTGAGTTACAGAATCTTAGGAGTGAAGTGCTATGTCTGCAACTCATTTCGAAGCAGCTCGGCAAAATGAATTTTATAAAGGATATGCATGCAAAAGCGTATGTGGCACTGTGCTATCATTGTTGCATAGGTGAGTGTTCATGGTATTATTTTTTAAACTTTTGTTCTGAAATTAAAAAAAATAAACTGGAAAAAGAAGAAAATTAATTTGATAAAAACAAAGCAAAAGTTTTAGAGTGGGTAGGTAGGCTGGCAGGCCCACTTCCTCCATCTCTTAACTCTGTTCCTGTATGTGCACAGAACACCTGTGAGCATTGAGTAAGGTGTAGCCTAGTGTTAGCCAAGTTTCAGAGAACTGTGAAAACCTCCTGATTAATAGAGAACCTTGAGGCAGAGCCTTGTCTTACTCATTTTTAGCATTGCCGGTGTCTATAACATTGCAGGAATTCAAAAACTGTTGACTGAAGAAATACATAAATAAAGGGGTGACCAAGTTTGAGGGTTGCCTGGAAAAGTGAAAGCACACCAGTGACTTTCAAATCCAGTAAATATTTGTTGAATTTAGTAGATTTGAACGAGTTAAGGGACAAGTAAGGTAAAGGTTGGTTCCAGAAGTAAGAGGAAGAAAGCCTCCTTTTAAATCTTCTCTTCTATGCATGCAATAATGACTATATTTCATAGTGTTTTAACTTTCAGTAATACTTTTCTGAATTAATAATCAAAGCGGTTTAGTGGAAGCCTTCTGCAGTTTTCCCTACATGTGGGGAAAATTTGAGTTTGGTGAGAAATCTTCAGAGGGTGGCATATGCAATTATTCTTTGTTCCTTGGTGAGCTATGAGTCGGGGCACTTAATTATGTAAAAGATATTGCAAGAGAGCAGTTGCCTAATCCCCAAGAGAGTAATTATTATCTGTCTTGGCAGAATGCAAGGCTTTTAATCTGTAAATAAGCGATTCTATGTGGAAGAGCTACATGCAGAGTGATTCTGTGTCTTAAAGGTCTCTTATGAATTTTTTAAAGTGAAAGCAGTCACTGTATATGCTGATTGGCTATTGCCTTTGTGTTTCAAAGAGTTTACGATCCTTCCCTTGTGGTTTTAACCCCTCTTGAAATATTTAAGCCTCTAAGGATGATTCCTGTAAAGGGTGAAATGTGTCTAAGTTAAGCCTATGAAAAATCTGAGTGTTTCAAATGTAGAGGAAGTAAAATGTGCTTTCTGCAAATTAAAAAACAAACCAAGATAAAAAAGAAAACAACAAGGTAAAACATTGACAGTGCTTTAAAAAAAAGCAAAGATATAATAATTAGCTAATATGTTGCTTACTTTTTGGAGGTTAATATTTTTTTTCCCTGTTTTTTAAAACAACTTTATTTTGGTATAACTGACATATAATAAACCACGTGTATTTAAAGTTTTGACTAAATAAATAAATAAAAATGTGTGCCATTGCAGCTGATATTTCCAAAAGGAATGAATTCACTTTCAGGGTATGTGTGTATTTTGTTTAGGCAGCGCTGAATGTTTTAGATACTGGAAGTAAATTCTAACTTTTTTAAGTTGCGAATAGTGTCTGCCTTCCTTCCCTTCCCTCCCATCCTTCCTGTTAGTGTGGATGAGCGGACTGTGCTTTCTAAGGACAGCTGCTGCCCTCAAACACTTGACTTCTCTCCCCTTTGCCTACGCAAGCACTTCATCTGGGGGACTGTCCCTCTCCCCTACGTGACCAACTTTCCCCTCTCTACCAAGGTATTCCTATTGAAGTAGAAACATGTAACGTCTTCCATTATTTCTTAAAAACCCTTTCTTCATCTCTATTTCTGTTACCCTTTGCACCCAAACTCGAGTCTGTATTCTGTCTTCACTTCCTCTCCTCCCTTTGTCTCTGGAAGCTACTCCAAGCAGCCTTTCACGCCAGTCCTGCACACAGACTCTGCTTTGTCGAGTCCCTGTGACTTTCGCACTGCCCGAGTCCATGCTCAGTACTTGGTGTCAATCTTATTTGGCCATCTGCAGCGTCGGCTGTAGTTTACCTGCCTTCACCTAGAAACACTTTCTTTACTTGGCTTCAGGAAAACCCAATCTCCTGGTTTCTCCCCTTCCTCACTGGTCACTCTTACTCAGATTCCTTTGTGAACTCCTCCTCTTTTCCTGTTCTTTTTAGGTTTCCTGGCCCCAGGTCCTCTCCCCTCCTATGCGCTTCCAAAGTCACCTCAGCCAATGCTGTGGTTAAATGTTCACTATGCTCTGAAGACTCCCACTTTTATGTCTGAAGCACCCACCTGTCCCTGGACTCCCGACTTACACATCCAGTTGCTGCCCCATTTCCCACGGGACGACTGGTGGGCATCTCGGATTTAGCACAGTCAAGGTGTGACCGCGGTCTGGTCTCCCCACACGTGTCTGTCACCCGGGTCATCGCAGTAGCCTCTCGTCTGCTTCTCCTGCCTCCACCCTTGCCGCAGCCCCTCCGACCCGTATGCAACACAGCAGTCCCCGAAAGTGCCCGTCAGAGTGTCAGATCGCGCCTTTGCTCCCGCACGAGGCCGCGCCTTTCTAGCCTCGTGCTGCCTCCCTGTGACTCCCCCTGCCGGGGCCCTTTCTCGGACGCCGCCGCCTGGGTGCGGTGCCGCCTTAGGCTGGGCTGCTGTCTGCAGCTCTGCGTGGCCGTGCCTTGCACCCGGATCTGTCCCCCGTCCTCTCGGCGAGACCTCCTCTGACCATGCTGTCCCCACCGGCCCCCAGCGCTCCTGATCCCTCCTGCTGGTTTTGCTTTTCTCTATTGCACTTACCACCACATGGAAATGAACATTTACCTTTTTGTGTTTACCTCGTTCGTTCTCGTCTGTCTTCTCCGATTAGAACGTGCGTTCCGTCAGGGCAGGGATTTGGCCGCGCCGTCCGCGGCCGCGTCGCGCGTGCGCAGACGGGACTCCCGAGGCGGCGGCGGGGGCGGCGCGCGCAGCGTTCCTCGTGCACTGACAGCGTTTTCCCTTCCTCAGTTCCTCTGCTTGAAGAACATACGAACATTTCTCACGGCCTGTTGCGACACGTTTGGAATGAGGAAAAGCGAACTCTTCGAGGCGTTTGACCTATTTGATGTTCGTGACTTTGGGAAGGTAATTACGCTTTATTTTTTATATTATGTTTTATTGGAGAACATTTTATCAAATCGTTTCAAATCTTGAAGGACGGCGTGTGAGTGGCTTATGTATCGCATTATATAGTATTAACAAAATTTCACGTGTAGGTGGCTTAGCAAAAACAAAAACAACACACACAAAGCAACAACAAAAAACAAATAATAGCAACAGCTTTCCGAATGAGATTATAATTATTTGTAATTAAAGCAGTGTAAGGGAATCTCTTAAGCCAAGGTAATTTTTCCTGCTGGTCACCTCAGAGGACAGGGTTACTATTATCCATCCTTTAGATAGTTCACTGGGCGCTCGTGGCTGAGGGCCGGTATTCCTTCCTGCCAGTCTTCTCTATATCTGAAAGGGACCTAATTTTTGGAAGTTGAGAACGTTCTGTTGCCCTTTTCTCCATTTTGACACGTGGGTGGGTGACTTGGAGAAGGCATGCATCACTGAAACGTCTGAGATTATTGAGTGAGTCCCATTGTTTGGATTTCAGCACATATTTCTTGGATTTTAGTGATATTTTTCACATAGGGATTGTTTTAAATTTTGCAGTTATTGTGTGTACACTAAACGCACGGTATAATAGGTGAAAGAAATCATCCTTTCAAAAGTTATGATTATTTATTATGAAATGAATGTGTGTAAAGTTAAACCTCTTACAAGTAAGTAGCCATGAAAGAGGTACTTAAGGTGACAGGACTTTAGCTCCTGCTCATATAATTGCGTTATAAAAATAAGCATGTAAGGAAAAAAAACTAAATGATATTGAGAAGTTTGCCCTTACTCTCATAATTCAGGTGCTAGCATCTAATCAAAAGGCTGTTAGAGAGTGGCACTTTGATTTCTAAGATATAATATTTTGCGTATAAAATAAAAACCAAGCCATAGGTTGGCTTGCTTGGCAATGGGAATAAATAGCACAAACTTGGGACAGAAACATAAGAAATTCGGCTTCCCCATATTTGTATTACAGCAAATATAGCGAAGCCACACCGTCTAGGGAGGGAGAAGGCCTGGGTTCTCTCGCTGGCCTTGGTGCAGAGTCATTTTGTGATCTTCTGGAAGTCACCAGCCTTCTCGGGCATCGGGCTGCCTGCCAGCTGGGAAAGCTGCACAAGAGGAAATGGGAAAAAGAATGTGGTGTCTAAGGTTCCTTTTATCTCTGGCAAGCTGTGATTTAACTCTCTTGAGGTCCAAAAAGTGATGGAGGATAAAATATGATAATAAGTACAAGGAAC